TTGAGGTAAGGAAAGTTAAATTAAGTCTCATATACACCTAATGTATAACATATTTATTGCTATAGAACTTGATTGAATTGATTTTGACATCCACACTTGCAATCTATGTGTAGCTAAACATCTCTTATCCATTGATGGAGACGGAACTGGAGAGGGCTTACCGGATGTCTCTGTTGGAAGGAAGAGATGTTGTGGACATAACAACTGTTAGAGGTTCTACTTCGGACACCGAACATGTACATGCATCTTCACCCACCACAAGGAATGTTGGAGGTGGAGAGTATCCCCCAGTCGACAATATGCTCGATTCGCACACGGTGGAACTGACCTCGACCACAGTAGTGGACATTGAATCGGTCGACGTGACATGTACAGAACCCCTTTCAGAACTAGGCCAGCGTGCAGCCGGTCAACATCCGACTGTTTCCATTCGCAATAGTTCCCGACGAACCACGAGTCGAGCACCTCAAATGTCGTCACGTGATGTTGATACTGAATGGTGGGATGACACTCATGGATATAACGATAGATTTGGGAATATTGAATCAATGTTGGAACGTTTAGCATCGGACGTTAGGGAAATGAACGTACACGTTGAAGACATCCCGACCATGAAATCCGACCTAAGTCACATCAAAGCTATGCTACAACGATTGTGTCAGGTAACTTCTTGGACGAACTAGTACCTTACTTCCGCGTGCATTTGCCCCTCCCTCGCTTGCCATCGCAATTTTTCTCGATCTCGAGCTCCCATTATCTCGATCTTGCTCAACTTCTCTTCTTCTTGCTTGTGCACCTGCTATGTTACGAATTCAAACCTGCTTTAGCAACCACATATAATGAACAGATGACAACAGATAATGAAATCCAATATAACGAACAAAGAACGACAGATGAAACCGAAGCAAGATATCTAACCCGTATCTAATCGTAAACAGAGAGGTATGAGAAGTATCGAATTTCAGGCACGACTAAGTGTGGATGGGATTGGGTTTTCGCAAAAGATGATTAAAACGGAGATTTTGGGCAGAAAGACACGATGGGAGGGAAAAGTTAAAAATAGACAGGTAGAGACAGTATGGGAGGGAAAAAAATCTAAAAAGATGGAAAGGAAGGGCATGGATGGTCATTTGGCAATATTGCTGACATCAGCAAACGATTAGAAAACATATATTTTCAAAAAGTGGGTAAAAAACAATATTGCCTTGGAAAAATGACTATTTAACTCAAAAACCCCTATTTAAACATTTTTTTTATCTCAAATTTACAATCAATTCTTCAAACTTTATCCCCAATCTTCTCTCCAATTCCTCCGTAAGCCATCCCTCTAAAGCTTCAATTTATGTTTCAATTCCTATGAGAGATTTATGGTTTATTTGGTTAAAAACTCGTATTCTATTTTTTGTTTTCAGATTCACTGAATCAAATGGATTCAGGAAATACACGTTTGTCAGTATTTTTGGCAGGAAATTCTGAAAATGACTTCTTAACGTTTTTAGTGTTTCTAGATTCATAATTTGAAATTTTTAAGATGCAGAATTACATCAAAAACGATAAAACTTTGATAAATATATTACTTCATATTATAAACTCATTTTATGTTTGTTAAAATTAAAACAGGTAAAATATAATGTATTCTAAATTATATAACATTGTAAAATAATAATTATACAAAATTGATTAAAAAAATGTTAAAAAATTAATTAATATAAGTTTGGATTAAATTAAATATTTAGTTTGTAACTAATCCCAGTTTACAAATATATTACGAAATACACATTGAATAATTTTTTAAATTGAGATTCAATTACCAAATCTGCTACCAAACACATATCTGAAAACACTAAAAACAAATAACACAACTCGGGTTTTCATTGAATCCCTTGTTTCAAATTTATGTTTTCTGATTAGCAACCAAACACACTCTTCATTTTGAGAGATCCTTGAGCTTGTAATTTTATTTTCTCTTAGCCATTTCAGAGGTTTTATTTTTTTATTTGTAAAAACTTTTCTTACAAATTTGTGAGCGAAATTTTGTATATCCACTATTTGAAAGAGTTTATAAGATTGTGTTCAAATTTTCAATTCTTTATAAGGGTTGCTCTTGAGCCCAAAAAAGAGCGTTTGTAATTGTTTGATCTTGAATCGCGGAAAGAATTAGGTTTGTTCTTGCTCTCGAAAAAAGAATATCGTACCGATTGGACTCTAAGCCATGGAAAGAGTCGAGTTCTTCAATTGAACACCCAAGAGGAGCTTGTAAAGTGGAGTAGGCTGGTGTTGCCAAAAAACTATAAACTTTCGGTGTCATTTTTCTAACCCTCTCCTATTTAATTTTGCAATTAATTTTTATTATCATAAATGACTTGAATTTAATTGCTACAATTTGTTATTCATGTTTTATGTGCAATATTTACATTGAAATTAATTTGGGTGGTTGAAATGTTATTTATAATTTATTGATTAATTTTGTGTTAAAATTATTTATTTGTAAAAAATTTAGATGGTTGTTTAAATTGGGCCTACCGTGTTAAAAACTTTATAAAGTTTCATTAAACCCTATTCATCCTTCTCTAGGGTTGTCATACCGATCCAATATATATATATATATATATATATATATATATATATATATATATAGTTTGTAGGAATATTGACGTGAGCCACTTCTTTACCGTTTCTTTAAAAAAAAAAAGAGTCAACATTTTTGTTTTCTAAATAACAGTGTGCAAAAACGAAGAATGATGCGACAAGTATCAAACTAGTTAGATGCATGGTATTAAATATCTGTCAAAATATTGACATGTCCATCAATATGTCTGATAAAAGTAAAAAATTACCTTAGGAACATATCATCAGCAGTTTGACTGAAGGCTACGTGTATGCACCTCGCGAGGCGAAAGCCAGACAACTAGTTTGGGATGACCAAGCCACGAAATACCGAACTTAGCTATATGGGATCCGAACTTGACTATCACGTTTGGATAATTAACTGTTCAACTACCTTCCTCCATTAACGCATACAATTTGACTGGAATCCATAGGAAACCATAAATTCAAATTCTTTACACTAAAGGTTATCACTTGATATTATAAAATACCCTTAAGTTAAAAGTAAAAGGTACGCGAACTCTGTGATTTGAAAAATACTTGAATTATCTTTGATCCTGTGCTAATTCAGGCGAGTGCTAACTCATTTTTGTAAGATTACTCCCCAAGTGTTCTTGGAGATTTATTGTTCTTTGTCGAACATTTTCAGTAAAAACAATGTCCATAAATTCATAGGTAAGACATCGATATGAAAAGTAAATCGACATTTCCATAATATTACAAAAAATCGATAAAATGTGAAAAATATCAACAAAATTTCACTCATATAGACATAATATTTTTCTTAAAAAAAATATAGACATAATATTTTTCTTAAAAAAAATATAGACATAATATTAATATTAATCAATTTAAACTTATTTAGAAATTGTGAAATAATTATTTGTTAATTTAAATATTTGTTTGAGTTTCTTATTTTTATAATTTTTCATAAATATCCATCAACATTTCTATGAAATTGAGATTTCGATATTTCTATCGACATTGACATTTAAAACTTTGGTTATGATTAATATTAATGAAAATAGAAATCAGTGAACTGGGTTAAAATTAGTGGATGAAGTATTAAAAATTGGAAGAAAGGTAGAACTTGTAATAGATGAAGTAGTAAAAATTCGAAGAAAGGTAAAAATTGTAACACTTATTTAAGTCTAGATTCCAATGACTATGTACAACAAATGAGGGAGGGAGGGAGAGAGAAGTTTTGAACTCATAACCTCTTGATTATAACAGACACGTATCAATTACCGCTAAGTCAAGATCATCTTGACAGTGAACCTAATTAAAATAATTGGGTGACCATGATATATCCAATTATTTGAGATTTAAATTAAATAAATAAAGAAAGGTTGCAAACCTGAATTGTAATGATTATTATAAGTGCACTAACAAACACCCCTTTATTAGATTATCTAAAGACTTTGTTCTTCAAATGTATATAGCTCTAAAATATATATATATATATATATATATATAAATAAATAAATAATGTACCTCAAATTTATTATATACTAAATATATTTGCAATTAATATACTAAATATAAGGTATTTCAAATGTTTAATTTTTAGTGGTATAACAGCTGTTTAAATTATAGTTTACCATTGTAATTTGTTGATTGATATACTAATATTATCAATAATGTTGATTACTATATCACGACTATTTATTCTATATTAATATTAATTGGATACTAAATATAAAGGATACCAACTATTTAAATTTATAAAATATATCAGATTTCTAACTTGTTTTTCTTAGACGTGCATGTTCCACATAAACCTTTTATACAATAAGTTTATATTTTAAATTTTTTTTGCACCATTATTTTCACATGATAAAAATATCGAATATAATAGTATATTATATTGATACACAAGTATCATAATTATATTAGTAGATATCACTGTTATATCAGGAGGTATATCAATGGTAAATTAGAAGCATATTAAGTATATATCAAATATATATCAGTGTTATATCAGTGGTAAATCATTTAATCATATATAAGAAGTTATATCATTGGTACATCATTTGAAAATCAATGGTAATTAGAGACATATCGAGTATATATCACAGATATATAAATGTTGTATCAAAATGGTAAATCAATAGTTATCATACGTATATCAGTGGTAAGTCATATTAGAAGTTCAGTAAATATCATAGTTATATCAGAAGTAAATCGATTGTATATCATTATTATATTAGTGGTATATCATAGACATATATTATATTGCACATATTTTACAGATGTATATCGATATATTGCAGGATAAAATTGCAATTTTAAAATTGGACCTCCATTTTTTTTTTAAAAAAAATGCTTTATTTAGTTGCTATTTTACTTATTTTACTAAATATTTTCGTTATAGTGCGGAAGGGCCTCTAATTTAAAAATGCAACCAGAAAAAAGTAGTGGGTCTTCACCTCAGGTGGGCCAATCGGAACTCGGTTCTGAAATTTCTTCGCACAAATTCGATTCGTAGAGGGCTAACGAATCAGAGAAGACCACAGATTCTTTCCAATTTCTGCTCGTTGACGCTTCTCCATCGCCGACCGGAGCCGATTTCTCAGGCAATGGACGACGAAAACTCTCTCCGGTAAACAAATAGTTCTTCTCTTCTGATTTCTGAATCTGAATCCTCAATCTGAAATTTGACCGATCCTGATTCTTCCGATGGCAGATTCAGCAGCGGATTGGAACTGGCGAGTTTCATCGCGACCTCGGATTTGCTGGAGCATTCATGGAGGGCGATTACGAAGCAGCGGAGTAAAATTAGTGCAAATGGATCTAGATTTTCGGCATTTTTCGGACGCTACAACGAGCGGTCGAACTGTGAGATCATCGCGTTTGTTACTGCGCCGAATTGCAGGGAGAATCCTCTGGAAGGAGAAAGAGGAGGAGATCTGGTTTCGTTTTCGGATTTCAAGGATGTGTTTCCTGCGTTTGAGTTTCTTTGCTCCAAACAATGCTCGGATTTCGCCATTAATGGAGCTGCTCTTGAGCTCTTTTGGGATTTCTATGATGTGTATGAGCAAGAGGTACTCTTCTTTTGAGCTTTCTTTTTTAGTTTTGGGCAAAACAAAATCATTGATGGATCATGGATAGAAGATTTTGTTCTGAAACCATATTGATGAGTTTACTTTAGTTTTTAAATATTTAGTTTCATTAAATTACCTTGGCTTTCATTTACTGTTGTAATTAATTTAAGTGATGCAATTTTACCATTTGATTGACTTTTATTTAAACAATAATTAAAAAAATAATTATATTCATGTGCATTTAATGAATGGAAAAAATATAGGCTTAGCATAAAATTCACGAGACTTTAAAAAAAAAAAATACAACGCTTATGCTAGATTTTTTTATTTTTTATTTTTAAAAAATAAAATTCGTGAGTTTTGAGAGTTTTCTCCGATGGTTGATTTTGTGTATTGACCATACTTAATTTTGCGGTATCTTTCTACTTATCACCCTTAAATTATTTATTTTATTTTATTTTTCTCTTTTTCTTAATGCGTTCGTCTATCTTAATTGTCAAATTTTTAATGATAGATATCCACTTACCGATAAGTGCTAAGTTTTATCCTAAAATTAATGAGTTGAATGTAGTGAATTTTTCTTCTAAAAACAATGTAGTGGAAATTAAACCGAACGTAAAATCTGCAGCATTGATTTAAGTCTATAGTTTCATTCAACGAACTTAAAAGTTTAGGATAAAAACTAATACATCCTATCAAATTTAGTGGTAAAAGTTTGTATTTATTTCTTTTTTCCTTTTTCTTTGTTTAAGATCTGTAACTAATTTAACATTTTTGATTAAGTTCAAGAATTTTCGTGGATGGGTTTAGGCATTTATGAGGCAATGATTTTATCACACTTGTCTAAATCTAGAGTTTGAACTTGAAAGTTTAGGATGAAAACTAATACAGCTCTGAACTTTTTTTTTCCTGTTCTTTTCTTGAGATTTTAAACTAATTTAGCATTTGTGATTAAGTTGGAGTTGAGTCATTTATTAAGACAATGATTATGTCTGGTTCAGATTGTGAGGCTGAAATCCAATCCAAAAACCCAATTGATAATCACAGGAGATGCTTTGGGAGGATCAGTTGCTTCTCTCTTCACTTTATTTCTCCTTGACTTCCTAGATCTCACCAAGGCCAAACGCCCTCTCTGTATTACTTTTGGGTCTCCTCTGTTAGGCGACGAGGCCCTTCAAAGCGCCATTTCACAGTTCTCCACATGGTCCTCTTGCTTCCTTCACGTTGTCTCCAACCATGACCCTCTCCCTAGAATGTTCCTCAATCACACAGCTTACTATCCCTTTGGTACTTTCTTGTTCTGTTCCGAATCCGATGGCTGCGCTTGCTCCGGCGACCCGGCGACGGTATCGAAACTGTTGGAGGCGACCGCAGTTCCTAACGTTACTTCTAACTCTCACTCTCTGTTGTTTGATTATAAGGAAACAGTTGATCATTTGATAAACCAGGCAAATCTCAAGGCTATGTCAATGTTGATCACAGAAAATACAGAGTCATTGAGAGGAAGCTTCGTAGCACAACTTGAAGCTATTGGAGTTGTTCAAATCCAAGTATGTATTTTTCGACTTTAACTGCTTTTGATTGTTAAACGAATGATTAAATTTGTCGTAGTGCATCCATTTAAGTTTTTGAGTATAGAAGGAAGTTCTGTTCGAATTCCTGTAATGTAATTTACTTCCTAATTTAAGATTAGTGTGTATTTGAAATTCGTCATTGTAGGCACAGCAGCAACAGAACGTAGATGTGAATAAACTCGTCAAGAAAATGATAGAGCGCGAGAACGATACGATACTTGAAACAAAAACTTCTGATCCATCTGAGGCTTTGAATATGGTAAAGATAAATATGGCAAAGCTTGAATGGTACAAGAAGAAGTGCCAGTCTGATGATATTGGTTACTATGATAGCTACAAGAATCAAAGGCATCCACCTGACATTCGTGTAGCTGAGTTCAAGAAAAAGCTACGAGTTTACTGGGAGAAGATGGTGGAGGAGGCGGAGCGGAGGCCGCAGAGGGAAGGGGCGCCATTCAACATACGGTGGATGTTCGGAGGGACGAATTATCGACGAATGGTCGAACCGCTCGACATTGCCGAACACTACAGAAAGGGCTTGCGCGACTACAAATCGCATAGGCCAAAGCACTACGAGAAGTTGGAAGAGTGGTTCGAAGAATCGAGTTCTGATCCGAGCACAGGGCAGAAGGAATCGGTTTCTTCGATCCTTACTGTAGATTCATGCTTTTGGGCTAATGTGGAAGAGGCTATCCTGGCGTGCCAAGTGGTGAAGATGGTGGATTGTAGTGCAGAAGAGGAAGAAGAAGCAATGGGAAAGCTTAAAGATTTTGAGGATTATGTGGTGAGAATGATGAAAAACAGTGCTGTATCTTCAGAAATTTTCTTGCCGCAGAGTAGTTTCATGAGATGGTGGGAACAATATGATGAGATTGTGGGAGATGATCATGATTCAATCCTCTCAGTGTTGATGAGGAATGAAGATCACTATGAACAATATGCCAATGGGAGGTTAGAGATCCCTTGAAATGCAAATTTTGATGTTAAATTGTAAATCTATTCCTTCTATCGGGTTTTTTTTTAAACCGTTTGGTAATGTTTATGTTTCTTATATTTTTATTTTTCATTTTCGTTTTTTATTTCTAGTTTCCTTTTTGCAATAAAGAAAAATAAACTAGGTTCAATAACAACTAACTTTAACGTTTTAACGTGAAAACATGTTTAGTAACTATTTTTTATTTTTTGTTCTCTCATATTTTAAGTTAAAAAAAATGAAAAATTTTACCTGAAATTTCATTTCTCAAATTAAATATTGAAAATTTGTTCATGTTATATTTATTTTTATGTACATTATGCATTTTAAAATTTAAAAAGAATGATACATAATATCTTTTTTCCATGTTTTGAAAAACTTGAAATAAAAACAAGAAATAAGGCCTCTATGTTAAGGTTAACGTTTTTTTTTTCTTATTTTTTAATAAAGAAAAATATAATTGTATTTCATAACTATTTCATGTGTTTCATTTTATTTAATTGAAAAAAATAAAGAAATTTAATTTTTTTGAAAATAAGAATAAGGAATGAGATTTTTTCTAATTTCTATACAGTTTTGGAGTGTAGTTGAGAAAAATGAAAAATAAAATATATAAATAATTATCAAATACTTAAAAAAAACTAGAAACAATAACAAGAATGGTAGGATATGGGCCTTCAGTCGCCAAAGTTACATTCCTCTCTTTGATTTCAGATTCCTTTGCTTTTTCCATAGCAAAATCCAAGTGATGTCATAATTGTTCCAATCACACTGCAGGCATGAGAGGAAATTTAAGAAAGTAATATATTTAGAATAATCAAATTTAAAAGTTTAACATTGGACAATGTGGACCTCTTAGGAACTTAATTTAAAAAAAAAATTAATGATAATGCGCGAAAAATATACTTGTTTGTTTGGTAACTATTTCAATTTCAGTTTTTTTTTTCTTTTCAAATGAATATGAAACTCCTGGTAAATATCAAAAATAAAAAAGGTTATTTTTCCAAATCTCATTTTTTTTCTCTTTTAACATATTCCTTCTCTCTCTAAAACTTTTTCTCCAAAGATCTTTTGCTAAAAAAAAAATTATCTTTCTCTATCTTTTATTTCATTAATGTAGACGTTGTTGTTCTATTTCCATGAATTCAAGGGCGTCCTACTAATAGTTTATTGATGGTCTTGGAATGTATGAAGTGAAATATAGTGTTAGCTTTTAAGTCCTCAATGTTGAGTTCTAGACGAATCATGTCGATTGCTTGTTGTCCAACTTGATTAAAGCCTTGAATCACCAATTTACTATCTGATAACTCCTCTATCGAAATGTCTAGTTGTTTCATGGTTGACTTGGATATTATATTGATAGTTGAGTCATCGTCAATAAGAATTTGGCTAACCTTTTGTTCTCGAACGTACCCCGAGACAAATAATGGTATGTTATGTAGCTTCGACCCAAGCAATAGTCTTTGTTTGTGAAGCCTATAAACAAACAACATGAAGCACATGTGTTTGCTTGAGAGGCTAGGATGTTAATCAGAAACATCAAGTGGGTAGATCTTCCAGCTTCATCACTACTTCAAACGAACTAATAGAAGCATTGTCATCTTTTGTAACGACCCGACTTTTTGGGACTCGATATTTTAAAAACCTTTGTTTGGGGGTAAACATACCCGAGACACGTGGAGGACCCTTGTTAGTGTTTGAAGAAACCAAATAAAAAGGATTGCTTAGGTCCACCTCGGCCCCGCCGAGGAGACCGGGTTCGCCCGTTATGAAAGACTAAGTATGAGCACCAAGGTTCGACCTGACTGGGGTCTGACCTGCTCGGACCCGACAGGCCCGATATGAGAAAAGACATATAACCGCCGGTTGTGTGTACTGTCGGATCCATCACCTATAAATAGAGGACTTCATTTCACGCTCAGGTATCAAATCTCACCTCGAACTGAATACGGAATCCGATCTATACTGACTTGAGCGTCGGAGTGCTTACCCTCTTGTGCAGGTCCACCCTAGTATTCAGGTCGGAACCGGAGACCGGGTTCGAGCTCGATTCGTGAAGAACCGTTGTGAAAATTCCTGCATAAACATTTGGCGCCGTCTGTGGGGATAAGACATCTTAAGTCATCCCGATCTAGAAAATATACGCAAAAATGGTGCATCCAGCAAGCTCTGCTAATACGACAGCCCGGAGGGGTGTGAATGCTGATAATGGTCCTCAGCAAGACCTTGACGCTGTAATGGTCGAGGACCAGGTTCGAGTAGGGCAAGAGGGAGATCTTCCACGGAGATCGGCCCGCCATGCGAACTAGGAGTTACCACCTGCCCACCCGAAACCCTCAAAAGCCAATCGAGGTCGAGGTGGGACCTCCAGAAAGGTCTCCCGAAGGGCCAACCCGGCAGTAGACCCTAAGGCTTTGTCTACTCTCCAGCGCAAATTGGATGATATGCGACATCGGTTGCGCACGATGGAAGAAATGTACACCGAGGCAACGTGTGCTAACTAAACTGCGTCTCCCTCTAGGGTCTTAGGCGCACCCGGTGAAAAGGGAGCTCCATCTATCCAACCTGGTAATCGTGAGCCCATTCCTAACAATGAAGGGGTGGATTACAGCTTGCGAGACAACGATCTTAGAAAGAACCTCACTGATAAGAAGAAGAAAGCCTCTCGGGAGCCGGAAGACTCTCCGTCCTACTCCCGAGAGTTCTCCAACTCTGACCTTAAGGCTCAGTCAAAGTATAAGCCCCTAACACCAGAAGCTGTGATCACCAGGGAAGAGTTCGACCTGATGAAGCACAGGTTCGATGAGCAGGTCGAGACACTCAAAGCTAGGTGCGAGAAGAAGGAGAGCTCGTTTGACGATGGCGACTTGGGAGAATCGCCATTCACTTCGGATATTATGGAGGCTCCAATCCCTCCAAAGTTAAAGACTCCCACTATGAAGCCCTATGATGGGTCTAAGGACCCTAAAGACTACGTTGAGGTCTTCGAAGGCCTCATGGACTTTCAAGCGGCAACAGATGCAATTAAATGCCCTGCCTTCCAGATCGCGCTTACCGGCAGCGCGCGCCTGTGGTATCGAAGGCTGTCGGCTAGGTCGATCTCGACCTACTCTCAGCTGAGAAAAGAATTTATCAGCCAGTTCTCTTCTCGGCATTATGACAGAAAGATAGCGACTCATCTCGCCACTATCAGACAGAAGGAAGGAGAGACGCTAAGAGAGTATGTCACGAGGTTCCAAGAGGAGCAGTTGAAGGTCGCGCACTGCTCCGATGATTCGGCCATGTGCTATTTCCTCAGCGGCCTGGCCGATGAGACCCTCACCGTTAAGCTCGGAGAGGAGGCTCCAGTAACCTTCGTTGAAGTCCTGCAGAAGGCGAAGAAGGTCGTTGATGGACATGAGCTCCTCCGAACCAAAACTGGCCGACCTGAGAAGCAGATCGACCAGAAGAAATTGAACCAGGAGAAGAGGAGGACAGATGTCAAGTCCAAGGATAAGGGACCATCTGCCTCCAGTAGCCGAACTGAGTATCGTAGGTTGGACGGTGGCCCCAACCGAAGCCGACCTTACGAACGTTATACCCCGACCACCATCCCAATCTCTGAAATACTTACAAACATTGAGGAGACTGGGATGGAAAAGCTCCTCAAGCGACCCAAGAAGCTCCGGGGAGACCAAGAAAAACGTAACAAAGACAAGTACTGCCGTTTTCATCGCGATCACGGCCACAATACGTCAAGTTGCTCGGAATTGAAGCGCCAGATTGAAGACCTCATTCAAGACGGCTACTTCAAAAAATTTGTGGGCGAACCGAGGTCTAACTCGGTTGAAAAGAAAGAAGAGAGGAAGCGTTCAAGAACGCCGCCTCGCCGGGATGACCGACCTGCGGTCATCAACACTATTTTTGGGGGCCCGAGTGGGGGCCAGTCCAGAAACAAAAGGAAAGAGTTAGCTCACGAGGCCAGACGCGAGGTATGTATCATCAGGGAGCAGAAGCCCACTTGCTCCATCACTTTCGACGATGCCGATCTAGAGGAGGTCCATTTGCTCCATAATGACGCGCTCGTGATAGCTCCTCTCATCGACCACGTCCTGGTCCGAAGAGTACTGGTTGATGGAGGCGCATCTGCCAACATCTTGTCTCTCCCAACATATCTTGCCTTGGTATGAACCAGGTCACAGTTGAAGAAAAGTCCAACGCCCTTGGTTGGATTCTCTGGAGAATCGGTCTCCCCTGAAGGGTGTATCGATCTACCAGTCACGATTGGACAAGATGCTACCCAAGTAACGTAGATGGCTGAGTTTGTGGTGGTCGACG